TAATTCGAAAAAATATAATTGATGTTAAAAAATAATGATTTTATTTCTTGTCGGAATCTTACTTAATTTAGCTTTCGTTTCTGTTTTCATGCAATAAAAATTTTATAATATATTTTTAGATATATGTATAAAATATTTCTATTTAATTAAAATTATAAAGTAGAATATACCATATAGTGTATTTCTATATAAATACAAGTGTATCTATACGATGTACATGAAAGAAAATCACGAAAGAAATTTGTTTCAACGCCTCCCGAGTTTTTACACGATCTTTACCAACGTAACTTTCGACTGTAACTTTTCTTGTATAGAGGTCATTAAATTCCCGATGCTGCAACTTAACGACGCTCGCGTGCAGCAAATTATTCACGAGCGCGCCAGGTACTTGGATTTTACAGGTTTGCAAGCCCCCATATTATGCAGAATTATCCTACCCCAGAGTATGCCCGAGGATCACGCCTGAAACACTCGCGAAAGCAGAAGCTCATGGGGAAACCGCGCATAGAGCTGCCTTTATGTTTTCTCTTAAGTGCTATCAGCGACTACCAGTGATAGAACCTTGCGAATTATAATTGGGTGATTACATGTGTATACAAACCACTGATTGCCTTCTGGCCAAATATCTTACATAATTCACCTATCTAATATATCGTTCATTGCTTGTGAGGTTACAAATCAAGGTTTGATTTTTCTTAGAACTTAACAAAAATCTTAGAAAAATTATCGTGTATCCGAAATAATGTGAAATTAATGTAACTTATGATATAGAAATTATGGTATAAAATATCCTATCCATCGATATTGTGTACAGCAACGATTTCAGTAATACAACTGCACGTACAGTCAGCCGTCAAATCCCTCTAAAGAAAAATATTTTTATATCCCTTAATGTTTTTATAATCAAATGAAATGACACGAAGAAATAACTTCAAAAGTGCAATTCTATTTTGTAATTATTGTGTAATATTATGGAATTATTGTAATTTTTCAAATAATATACATTTCAAGTAATATACATAAATATTATACATGAAAGAGAGTGTTTATATTTTACGTCACAAATATTATATAATTGGAAACTATAATATGTTTAATCCTAAAAAAAGTATAATAGCATATGTTTGTATCTAATTTTTAAATACATTATTTTTTGGAGATAGATTATTTCCCTAAAATTACATAATTCTCATAACTGTCTTTTTGTCAGTTTTTTACTTATAAGTAAAATAAATTTTAAATGTAAGGATATGGAAATTGCAATATTTTTAATATTTTATATTTCTATCTTCAATATTTAAAAATATAAATGCTGGTATGCGTAACGTTGAAAATTATAATTGTATTACAATCACGAAATTGTAATCAATACTAACAATCAATATCGTAAGCTAGTCTTCCTTTTTTATCATGAAAAAAAAAATAAAACATCCGATTTAAGTGATTAAATTTTTGGCATTCCGCTCATTTTCTATATCGATATATTTGTATTCCACGTAATACATGAATATACAGGAACAATTTCAATATTAAATTTATTACATAGCATTCAATGCCGAGACGCGTTGCTCGAATTAAAATATTATTTCTGCCCTTACACTGCGTTATTTTATTCAGACCGGTGCTTTTTCGAGAAAATACGTGAGCGTGCTGCTGAATTGTTAAAACGGGAATGTATATCGGAGGAAACACGATGGTCATTTATAAACAAAACAGAAATGGAACAGAAATGAATTACAGAAAAATAAATAAATCTATTCGCAATTTTATTTCTTACAGCGGTCAATTCGTTTTTGCGTATTGGCAAACATTTCTTCGTGAGGCGTTTGAAAAAATCCCATGGCGCTTCTCGTCTCTCCAGACACGCTATATATCGCTATTTAACGCCACGGTGTTATCTAAGTGTTTTATTTTCTCGCATCTATCACGGTTTAGCGCCCGGCCGATTTCTCTGTGCGTATAGGCGAACAAATCGAGTGTATCAGCTCGAGCTGCTGGGCCATTTGTCATTTCATTACGATAGTCGGGCGGAAGAGAGACGAGCGAAAGAGAGACGAAAAGCCGGGTTGGGGCTGCCGTGAAAAACGAACGAGGAGACGCTCTTGTTCGACCAGGCTGTGGTGCCTGGTGATTTGTCAGGGCATCTTATGCGTATATTATCGCAGAAATACTCACAGTTCGACGCCCGAGCGTCGATTCTCGCGGTGCTGACTATCGCAGGATATCCATGCATACACCAGAAGAAACCGATACGATGCTCACAACAGGACGGCGAAATGGCTGCTGCGCAGTTGATCCGTGCCGGTCGTCGGAACTCCGATGTTGATGTTTGCCACAGCGACCTTCTTTTACCCGATAATCCACCGAGCGTCGCATTACAATGGAACTTGAAATCACAAACACGATGTAACACCCGATTACCTTCCGATTACGTTTGTTTCGTTGTAGAAAGTGCGGAGCAATCGCGAACGCGACTCGAGCGTCGTTGCCACTGTCTTTCTCCATTAGTGACTCACTTCAGTCTGTTCGCGCGCTTTTCCGTCCGGAAGAGTTGTGGCGCGAATCACGTGTTGCTTCAAACGTAATTTTGGAAAGAAGCGAGCGGTGATTGTGAAATCGAAGGACGCATTAAAAGAAAGAAATTGTAAAATAGGATTTGTAAATGTATAAAAAAAGTCCGAGTTGTTGTTTTTAATAGCGAGAGAAAGCGAAAAAAAGAGAAAAGCGATCATGGCTTAGATAATTTTGCATTTTATTAATTTCTAACAACATTTTATCGAATATAAAAATAGGAATATTAGTTTATAAAAAAAACGAAGTTTATTAAATAGAAATATAATAGATATAAATAGAATATAAATATAAATATAGAAATATAGAAATATAAATAGAATAACATAAAAAGAAATTGTATAATATTATTCTGAGAAATAATAAAAATAATATTATAAGAAGAAGAGAAACTTGATCTTTGTTTCTGATAACAAGAGAGAAAGTGATTATATAATTTTGTATACATTTAGCAATTTATTTACACCAAGTTAACTCTAACGTCTTTTCAAATATAAAAATATAAATAAAAATATTAACATATAAAAATAATAAATATATACGTAATATGATCAATGAAAACATATTTCTTTGATTGTTATCCAAAATGTCTTACAACCACTGTGCAATATTGTACGATACGCAGCGTTGTTGGCACTTCAGTTGCCAACATCTAAGAGAGTAGATAAACAGCATCCTTTAGCGTGAGAACGAGAGAGATACCTAGCTCGAAGATCAACTTGACTAACCACTGCTCTTGCGATTCAGGGCAATTTATCACGGTCGAATGACAGCTGAAAGCTTCTACGACATTACTCAGGACTTTCTCTCTATGTCCTCTTCCGCTCCTTCTCTCCTCCATCCTGTCACTTTTTTGTCTGCGCGAGGGGGATTCATCCGCAACTCCGCGATGTAGTAAGCTGACAAGGTGTACAGCCGCGAGATCATTACTCCGGAATTATCCGAATGCTCATAACTTCTGCTCGCTAAAACTCCGGCTCGCGGGGCCGAAATTCCGACTGGGGGAATTCCAGCGGCATTTTCGGGATTTCTCCGCTATTCGGCGGTTACCCCGCACCCGTAGTTATCTCGCTTCGTGGCCTACCTTGCATATCAGTAGGGGATTACGCGGATACACGGTCTGTGCTCGCGTCACGGCGGTTGTCCGGCTATCCCGACGTATAATAATTTGAACTGTTGCAAAGCTATTGGAAGTTGATCTACACTATATAAACATGTTCGCTCGCATATTGAAATAGTTATCAGGAAATTATGGTGGTATCTGGTTGGTGACTTGGGCTTACGTTATTTTCAACGTTTTATATACACAGAGCCGGGAGTGGTTACTTAACTGTATTAAATGACACTTTCCATGGACAGGAATCTCCGTGTTGCTTTGTTTGGAATGTCCAAGTGAGTTATTCGCGATGGCTTACAAAAACCTCTTTAGAGCATTAACTTCTTCTTTGCAGGATGAGCGTGCGGTTTTATTAAGCCATCCTTTATTCGCTGCAAGAGAGTAAAATCGTTACCACTCCACTTGGAAAACCCCTCCAAATAGTTTTTGCCTAGACGTAATTGGCAAGCCATTATCTATAACAAAGACATTACTGGATTTTCTGTCCATTCAGGAAATTCAGTTAATTGAATCGAATAAGCTCGAATAAACGATGTAAAATTGCTGAGACAATAAAGATAATAATGAAAAATACAGATAATTAAAATTTATTACATTTTAAAAGATACAACGTTGCTGTAATATATATACAAAATATAATATTATAATTTTAAATGTAGTTTTAATTTATTTTAATAAATTAGGTCTTTGAAAAATATTCTGAGCATTTAAAAACAATATGGAAATTAATTTTTCTTAAACATGTTTTTAGATAACCTTTTTGCATAAATAAAATTTTTACCAATAATATATTATATAATATATTATATAAATAATCTTTAACAGAAAGAAAATATTAAAAGTTAGTACTAATTAAATTTTTGCTTGTAACATTAATATATTTAATAGAAGCATATTTTCAAACAGACGAATATTAATAAGCGCATGGTATGCTTTAATTAATATTCTTCAATCATCTGACTATTATATGACTTTAGTAAACGATTTATGCTGAAAACGCAACTGCGCACAATGAAATTCCATTCGATCCAAATTATTAATTACATACCTTATCTAGATGAATCATCAAATTATAGCCTCTGATTTCTAATAACTCTAAATAAACTTGAAATATATATTTATGTTGTATATTTAATAACAAAAATATACATCTTCAAAAAATGTTCTTATGTACAAAAATGTTCTTATGTACAAAATTGTACACTTCCTATTTGTAATTGTAAAAATGTTTCTTTGCATATAAATTTATATTTCACATGTGTCTAATTGTATGTAAATAGAAATAAATATGTCCATAATATTTTTGTTTCAGGCCGAAATATGGAGCGTCTTTATTGCGATTTTAAGAAAAAGCGTCAGAAATTTACAAGCATGTACGGATGTGAGTCTCATAGAACATGTTCTGCATCGATTATCTCGTGCGGAAACTGTTGTCGCCGGTAAGTAAATATTTTAAACAAATTTTATGTTATATTATTAATGATAAATTACAGAAAAATGGAATATTCTAAAATATAGCAGAAATTAATTTTAACAGAATTCAATATTCAGCACACTCGCACAATATAAATTTTGTATCACAACAAGAAAATGCAATTTTTTTTCTGAATGATTATATTCTTTAATATTTTAAATATTTTTATATATTGATAGATTTGTTAATCGATATGCTGGGAGTGCTAGCAAGCTACAGCATAACGGTGAAAGAATTAAAACTTTTGTTTGGCGCTATGAAAGCTGTTAAGGGAAAATGGGTAAGAATTTTAAAATTATTATCCATTATCTATATTTATCTATTTGCACATTATACAATGAAAATTCAAATGAATATTATCACAAAAATATATTTAATAGATGTATCGAAGAAACATATTGAAATTACTAAATAATAAATAATTTATATATTTTATAGCCACGACATTCGGCGAAATTATTAAACGTTCTTCGTCAAATGCCGCAGCGCAATGGACCCGACGTATTTTTCAGTTTCCCCGGCAGGAAAGGGTCGGTAAGTTGGTTTCTTTTCTTATCTTTATCTAAGAACAGATACTTCTTACTTTACGATATCCCAGAGGACGTCGTTCGATTCTAAACTCGATCAAAGTTCCGATAAAAGAATTTACCTTGCCTCGCAAGATTCCACTATCCGCTTACATTTTCGAAATCAATCACAGTAAGGAACTTTCCTAAACATTATTATCACATACACACTCATTCAATACGTGGTTATTACAGAACATAAATGGAAAATACGGTTCGATTTGAATTAGATAGAAGCGATACAAATATTTTTTATTGTATATTTAATACTCCTCTAATATAAATCACAAAGTTTATAACAGCTAAAAAGAAGGGAAAAATTTCTAGAAAAGAAGAATTTAATACGAAGTTTAATCAGAAGCAATAAAGTTAAAGATTTTCGTTAAGTACTACATTTTCTACTTCTAATTATATTGAAAGTGGTACTTAACGTACTCTAGATTACTAACTTTTATAAAGTTTGTAAAGTAAAGTTATAAAATGTTTTATTTATTATAAGATATACCATGTTAATTAGTATTAGCAATGAAGTATTCACTATTTTTTTTGAAAATTATTTTCTTTTTTTTTATATTTTTATTTTACATTTATATTAATATTAATTGTGTTCTAGAAAAAAACACACATATAGAACGTAGTTGAATATGAATTTATATGAATAATGAGCATCATTATAATTTCGTATTTAGTTTCATACATAATAACGTTACGACGTTCCAACATGTGCATAATTATTAATTAAATTATTTATGCAGTTTGGTATTGTTAGAGTTTTGAAAAGCTTGGAGTTCATTGGAGAGTAAAAGCTTATTATATGAAGCGTGATGAATATAATTTGTTAACAAAGACAGGATATCGTAATGTTTGCAATAAACATTAGAGAGGATGAAATTGGAAACTAAAATCAAAATTGTATACGCGCGTGCACAGCGTTACTTTCATTGTGCATTAACAATATTAACACTTATTTATTTAGTTTAAAATAATAAGTGTAAAATATTAAAAAGAAGCATATAAACAGAATACAACGGAATATCATAAAAAAATTGAAGATTAAATAAATTATCAATATTACGTTAAATTATTAATATTACGATATTCCGTTCAAATTATATGAAATCTTTTCATGTTTTTCATAGGCGATTGTTTTGCCACCGCTTGCAAAGTGGCCACACGAGAATGGATTTACCTTTACCACATGGTTCCGCCTAGATCCCATCAACTCTGTTAATATCGAACGAGAAAAACCGTACCTCTACTGGTAAGTGCTCTCACATCAAGTACTCTTACGAAAGCACTCTTTCAGGTGGAGCAGCGGTCTTAAAGAATCACCTATGTTTCTCAACTTCGAAGAAAGCACTTGGATATTTCAACTGAATTCATTAAGCGTGATTTTGTTACATACAATTGTAAAGAGAACAATATTTAAACTTTAAACTGTCTCACATTTGATTTTAATTTTATTCATTTTTCTTATTCAACAAAGATTCTTTTAATTATTTTATATATATAATTTCTATTTTTTCATACAAATTATATCTCTTTATATTAAAATAAAAATGTAAAGTAACACAAGAGAAAATATGATAGAATAGAATTTATCAAAGAGAAGTTAATACCGTTCTTTCATCATTTCAGCTTTAAAACAAGCAAGGGCGTAGGATATTCTGCACATTTCGTAGGCAACTGCTTAGTCCTGACTTCTATGAAAATAAAGGGCAAGGGCTTCCAACATTGTGTCAAATATGAATTTCAGCCACGAAAGGTATACTTTCCAAATTGACATGTACACAATTATCTCGAGCATAACAAATTTTTTATATAGATGTCATGTGACAAAAATACTTTTATTTTATAGTGGTATATGATCGCGGTAGTGTATATATACAATAGATGGACAAAAAGTGAAATTAAATGTCTGGTCAATGGTCAGTTGGCATCGAGTACAGAAATGACATGGCATGTTTCGACGAATGACGTGAGTGTCTATCAAATATTTTCCACAACAATAATCTTCTCTCAATGACGATTTAAAGAAAGAAATTATTTTACAGCCTTTTGACAAATGTTATATTGGAGCAACCCCCGAACTGGACGAAGAGCGCGTGTTTTGTGGGCAAATGAGTGCAATTTATTTATTCAGTGAAGCGCTGACGACGCATCAAATATGCGCGATGCATCGATTGGGGCCGGGATATAAGGTATGCTCTTTCTTTTTCGCCATGTTTTTGTCACGTAAATATGCTATAGATATACATGTATAAATCTTTAATCAAACGCGGATATTTTTCAACTTTACATTTGTGGACGAATATTCATCGTCGTTTCTTTGCTCCCTGTGTAGAGTCAGTTTCGTTTCGACAACGAGTGCTACCTGAATCTGCCTGACAATCATAAAAGGGTGAGTGAGCAGGATCTCTCTACGAGCATGGTGGACCAAAGTATGCAAATTGTAAGCATTTTGATTTTATTTTTTTGTTAACATATGATTTGTACTTTGTTAATTATTCTGTTACTGCGTTCGAGTTCACCTGAGGTAATTACCCAATTATGACCAATGTTCCTTGGCGGCCATTGCGGCTGATAAGTTTATTGATTTGTTTAATATTATTTGTCTTGAAAAAATTGATTTATTATAATTGTAAATTTTGCATTGTATTTGTGGTATTAATAATGTATATATCTTTTTGCATCTTATTTTTTTATTTTTTTCTTTCTGTACTGAATGCTTATCCTTCTTAATTAACAAATGTCGCAGAACAAAACTTAGTAATGTGCAAAGTACTTTTGTTGTAAGCATCGCTTTGTATAACATTGTATAAATCTTTTAGAATTTTATTAATTTTGTATCAATTGATATTGTAATTGGTAGCAAAAGTTGTGGTATAATTATTCGATAGCGTTGAATTATTAGTTATTCGTATCATGCAAGACGTGTATGTGTTTTTTGTGCATTTATTTATATTACGTAATGAATATAGATGAAATCCAAGATGTTTATGTTCTGGTAAGATTGAATAATATAATGCATTTACATGGATGTCATTAAAATACTTCGTAAATTACTCACAATATATATTGAAAATTTTTCCTCCATGCGAGAGATCTACAATTTTATTAATTTTTTATTTTATATGTAATATTTCAGGTACTTTACGATGGAAAACTGTCGAATGCAATTGTGTTCATGTATAATCCAGTAGCAACGGACTCGCAGCTTTGTCTACAGAGCGCGCCGAAAGGCAACATCTCTTATTTTGTACATACACCGCACGCTCTCATGTTACAGGTATAATTTATTATTTATTGTTACTTACGTCATTTGATTGAATAGATTCAGCGTTGAATCATATATAAAATTACATTTCAAGTTTATTTGTAAATAATACATGTAGAATAAATTTGAGATATAATGCATTGTAATAAGTTAAGGTATTTTTATTTCGGCTTTCAGGACGTCAAGGCAGTCATAACACACTCAATTCACAGCACGTTAAACTCGATAGGCGGTATTCAAGTACTATTCCCATTATTCTCACAGCTGGATATGCCTTACGACTGCATAGCGCCGAATGACATTAAGCGCGATCCTACATTATGGTAAAGCTTATTAATAGTTATCGTTTCACAAAGCCATGCGTTTAAAGAGAGAACATTAACAAGAAATATCGACGTTATTTTTCAGTTCAAAATTGCTCGGGTTTATTTGCGACTTGGTAGAGAGCTCTCAAACTGTTCAACAACACATGGTACAAAACAGAGGATTTTTGGTAATAAGTTTCATGCTACAGAAAGCAAGTCGAGATCATCTCACGACAGAAGTTCTCGCATCCTTTTTGGAGCTTACGAAACATTTAGTGACCTGCCTCAGCGCAAACAGCGATTTATTATTAAAACAGGTACCAATCCATTAATTAACAAATTATTATTTGCAAATATTTTATTAGATATATTAATATGACAAATATGTCAATAAATATTTAATAATATATATATATGCAGTTAAGATAATTGCATTTTGATTGTGTTTATTTGAATAAAATAATGAAATCTCTTTATTATAATTTTAAGATACATTATATTTTATAGTTTGCAATTATTTTAACTAAAGATAGTTTTTAAGATGTTTTAGATTTAGAAATATTAGATTTAGAAATACCGTAGAAGAATATAAAATTATAACTTGCGAAAAATTAGGTGAAATAGCTTCTATAATAGATTTGAAAATAAAATAGAAAATTGTCGATAGAAAAAATGTGAAGATATTAATTGTCGTAGATAAAATAATATTTAGTTATATTTTAACATTTATTTTATTCAAATAGTAACAAAAAAAATTTTTTTAATTTTATTAGTTATTTAAATTTTATTAGTTAATTAAATTTCTAATAATTTAAAATAAATTTTTATCCATACATATCTAGCATGTTGAATGATTTTGTTTATCTGCATGGATTATATTCTTAATTTGATTTAGTTTGATTCAATGATTGATTAAAATGTCAATATCAATATTTTATTTCTTTCATTTGCGTTATCGTGTCTGTTATGCAATATAATAGCTTTCACGCTTTTATCACAATTGCTTTCATGGAAATGTTTGCAGTTATATGTGCTTGATATTTGTATTGGTATTTAATGTGCATTTTAGTTTAAACCGTTAAGATTTTGTTAAAGCCCTTGGGGCTTTTTGATAAGCCCATCGTGAGCATGTCTACTCGGATCTTGTTACTTTCTTCGATCATTGTTGTGTTATCCAAACTTCGGATCGCATGCAATCTACCGACTTTTGGGCTTCCCAATTTAAAAATAAAATGGCCACGCAAAATATTTTGTTGATCATGTTGCTTTTCAAAATCCATAATTCTTATTTTGCGACGCTAACAATTTTCATCTATCTTTGCCATTGTAAAGATTTATGTTTTCTATTTTTGAATGCACTTATCAAAATTCTGTTATACGGCATATTATTTCCGTTTATCATAAGTTTTTTAACGGTAATTAATTCAATTAATTAATTAATTATGTTTAATACACATGTTTTATTTATGTGCAGTTTAATATGAATAATGTAATACAATGTTAATATAGTATTAACATAAAATCAATATATTTCTTGTGGATGTACGCATCTCCTATAATATAAAACAATTATGTTATTAATCATGCCAAATCAATAGTGTTCATAATTGTTTGAATATACAAATCCTAAATTTGGATTTTTGATATTATTTTCTTATATTTTTTCCAATTAATATAAATGCACAGATATCTATTTGCACTCGTGATGTTCTATTCATTTATACCACCATTCAATAATTGTTGTTATATTTTTAACAGTACCATCTGCATTTCATCTACTATCGCTTTCAATCATTTCCATAAGCTTAATAATTC